CAGCACTGACCCTCCGACAGTGCGGCACTCCCTCAGCACTGACCCTCTGACAGTGCGGCTCTCCCTCAGTACTGACCCTCCGACAGTGCGGCACTCCCTCAGTACTGTCCCTCTGACAGTGCGGCGCTCCCTCAGCACTGACCCTCCAACAGTGCGGCATTCCCTCAGCACTGACCCTCCGACAGTGCGGTGCTCCCTCAACACTGACCCTCCGACAGTGCGGTGCTCCCTCAGCACTGACCCTCCGACAGTACAGCACCTCCTCAGTACTGTCCCTCTGACAGTGGGGCACTCCCTCAGCACTGACCCTCCGACAGTGCGGCACTCCCTCAGCACTGACCGTCCGACAGTGCGGCTCTCCCTCAGTACTGACCCTCCGACAGTGCGGCACTCCCTCAGTACTGACCCTCTGACAGTACAGCACTTCCTCAGTACTGTCCCTCTGACAGTGGGGCACTCCCTCAGCACTAACCATCCGCCAGTGCGGGAGTCCCTCAGTACTGACTGTCCGGCACTGACCCTCCGACGGTGCGGCACTCCTTCAAGGACTGGACTTGAGTATTAGTCTGGATTGCTTGCTCAAAGTCTTGGGAATTGAACAATAATCTTCTGGATCAGGTACAAGGAGGAGCGTCAGTTATTCAACTGGCACCCTCTTCTACAGAGGTGTACATGTTTATCAACAAAAAACATTTGCCGTAAATAAGGTCAATGTCCTGTGAATGTAGGAGAGGACAATATAGATTCTATCAAGTTCCTGTGCAACCATACCATGCATGCTCCAAATGGGGAGAGATCATGTCAGTTTTGCATATAATACAGGGAGGAACACTGTATCAGTTCCAGTTCCATCTGGAGCAATGATACTTTATAGAATATATGCAGAATCCTAAATGGGGTTCGATTTTTAATGTGCTGATTACTCACCATTCTCAGATAATTCATCAGGCTGGTTCCATGTTGCCAAATCTGTGCTGAGCCACAAGACAAGGATTTAACAGCAATTTCCTGACTGCGGTTAAGTTCATGGACAGCAGTGACAATGACATAGACAGCATCGAACAAGAGGGCAGAGGAGAGCTAGATGCAAGAGACAGAAGGTTACCTCTGGAGAGAGTTTAAAAGATGATTCAAAGTTCAGAAGTACTATCTGTACTCAGAAACACTATTTGTAAAATAATTGCTTCTATTTTAAAGGTTTACTGGTAACTAAAAAAAATTGAAGCAGACATCAAGCTTGAATAAAATTGGAAATCCTTGCAGTGGTAATTTCTTATTATGCATCTGGATACATTCTGCCAAGTTCAGAAAACGGTAGCTTGATCTATTATCAACAATTACTAAAAAAGAACAAAAATACTCAAAACATTATTTTCCAAGTGAAAGAAAAATTCTCCATCATAGATGATGAAGTTTTGATTTACTGTCCAAAGAATGAGAGAGATGCCTTTGCTCTTAATATCAGCCAAAGGACATAGATCCTAACAGTATGGAAGCAGGCTATTTGGCCCTTTGGGTCCACACTAATCCTCCAAAGAACATCCCACCCAGGCCCACACCTACCCTATCCCTGTCGCCCTGTATTTCCGATGGCGAATCCATGTAACCTGCACATCTTTGGACTATGGGAAGAAACCAGAGCACCCAGACAGAGGCAGTTGCCCAAGGGTGGAATTGGACCTGGTTTCCCTAACACTGGTAACAGTGCTAACCACTGAGCCACCGTCATGTATGAGTAAGCTAGAGGTCCAGGCTAATGCTCTGGGACCACAGGTTTGAATCCCACCATGGCAGTTGAATTCAATTAATACATTTTCTCTTTCCTATAGGTCAGCCAGGCACTATTAGAGGCTATTTTGGCGCAGTGGTAGGTCCCTATCTGTGAACCAAGAAGCCCACGTTCATGTGCCACTTACTACACAATAACATATTTGATCAGGTTGATTAGAACAGGAACTGGAATGCTTCAGTGAATAGCTCTCCTGCCTCTGAGTCAGATGGGCCCTGGTCAAGTCCCACTCCAAAATGAGACCAGGATTCACTGAATAAAGGTACAAGGTAGGACATCTGGGACTGAGATTAGGTGATTTTTTTTTCACCCAGACAGTGGTGAGCCTATGGAACTCTCTTCAATAGGAAGTGTTTAAGGCCTAAGCAATGAATGTTTTCAAGGAATTAGATGTAGTTCTTAGCACTAAAGGGGTCAAAGGGAATGTGGCAAAAGCAAGAACAGTGTATTGGGTTGAATGATCAGCCATAAGAACATGAGATTTCTGAATATTTGGAAGTATATGGTAAAGTAGGGCAAAGTCAGCATGGTTTCATCAAGGGGAGGTCATGCCTGACAAATCTGCTAGAATTCTTTGAGGAAGTAACGAGCAGGGTAGACCAAGGAGAGCCAATGGATGTTTTATACCTGGACTTCAAGAAAGCCTTTGACAAGGTGCCACACAGGAGGCTGCAGAGTAAGATAAGGGCCCATGGTGCTCAAGGCAAGGTGCTAGCAAGGATAGAAGATTCGCTGTCTGGCAGAAAGCAGAGACTGGGAAAAAAAGGGTCTTTCTCAGGATGGCAGCCGGTAATGAGTGGTGTTCCGCAAGGGTCAGTGTTGGGACCACAACTTTTCACTTTATATATTACTGATCTGGTGAAGGAACTGTGGGCATTCTGGTGAAGTTTGCAGATGATACAAAGATAGGTGGAGGGACAGGTAGTATTGAGGAGGTGGTGAGGCTGCAGAAGGACTTGGACAGGTTAGGAGAGTGGGCAAAGAAGTGGCAGATGGAGTACAATGTGGGAAAGTGTGAGGTCATGCACTTTGGTAAGAAGAATCAAAGCATGGACTATTTTCTAAATGGGGAGAAAATTCAGAAGTCTGAAGTGCAAAGAGACTTGGGAGTTCTAGTCCAGGATTCTCTCAAGGTAAACTTGCAGGTTGAGTCAGTAGTCAGGAAGGCAAATGCAATGTTGGCATTTATTTTGAGAGGACTTGAATATAAAAGCAGGGATGTACTACTGAGGCTTTGTAAGGCTCTGGTCAGGCCACATTTGGAGTATTGTGTGTAGTTTTGGGCCCCATATCTCAGGAAGGATGTACTGGCCCTGGAGCGGGTTCAGAGGAGATTCATGAGAATGGTTCCAGGAATGAAAAGCTTAACATATGAGGAATGTTTGATGACTCTGGGTCTATACTCATTGGAGTTTAGAAGGATGAGGGGGGATCTAATTGAAACTTACAGAATACTGAATGGCCTGGACAGAGTGGATGTTGGGAAGATGCTTCCATTGGTAGGAGAGACGAGGACCTGAGGCCACAGCCTTAGAGTAAAAGGAAGACCTTTTAGAACGGAGATAAGGAGAAACTACTTCAGCCAGAGAGTGGTGAATCTATGGAATTCATTGCCACAGAAGGTTGTGGAGGCCAGGTCATTGAGTACATTTAAGACTGAGATAGACAGGTTCTTGATTATCAAGGAGATCAAGGGCTATGGGGTGAAAGCAGGTTGAGGAACTTATCAGCCATGATTGAATGGCAGAGCAGGCTCAATGGGCCGAATGGCCTAATTTCTGCCCCTATGTCTTATGATTTTATAGAACATAAGAACCAGGAACAAGAGTAGGGCACCTAGCCCTTCGAGCCTGCTCCACCATTCAATAAGATCATGGCTGATCTTTTCATGGCCTCAGCTCCACTTACTCACCCTCTCACCATAACTCTCAATTCCTTTACTGATTAAAAAATTATTTAACTTAGCTTTCAAAATATTCAATGAGAAAGCCTGAACTATTTCACTGGGCAGGGAATTCCACAGATTCACAACCCTTTGGGTGAAGAAGTTCCTCCCCAATTCAGTCCTAAATCTGCTCCCCCTAATTTTGAGGCTGTGTCCTCTTGTTCTAGTTTCACCCGCCAGTGGAAACAACTCCCTGCTTCTATCTTATCTATTCACTTCATAATTTTATATGTTTCTAGAAGATCTCCCCTCATTCTTCTAAATTCCAATGGATATAACCCTGGTCTACACAGTCTCTCCTCATAAGTCGACCTTCTCAGCTCTGGAATCAACCTACTGAATCTCCTCTGCACCCCCTTCAGTGCCGGTACATTCTTCCTGGAGTAAGGAGACCAAAACTGCACGCAGTACTCCAGGTGTGGCCTCACCAGTACCCGATACAGCTGCAACATAACCTCCCTGCTTTTAAACTCAATTCCTGTAGCAATGAAGGATAAAATTCTATATGCCTTCTTAATTACCCACTGCACCTGCAAACCAACCTTCTGTGATTCATGCACAAGGACACCCAGGTCCCTCAGCACAGCAGCATGCTGCAATTTTTTACCGTTCAAATAATAGTCCCTTTTACTGTTATTCCTACCAAAATGGATGACTTCACATTTATCAACATTGTACTCCATCTGCCAGACCTTTGCCTACTCACTTAGACTATCTATATCCCTCTGCAGACTTTCTGAGTCCACTGCACACTTTGCTCTACCACTCATCTTAGTGTCATCCGCAAATTTTGATACACTGCACATGGTTCCCAACTCCAAATCATAAATTGTAAACAGTTGCGGTTCCAATACTGATCCTTGAGGCACACCACTAGTCACAGATTGCTAAATAGACAAGCACTCATTTATCCCCACTCTTTGCTTCCTGTTAGTTAACCAATCCTTGATTCATGGTAATGCGTTGCCTGTAACACCGTGCGGCAGCCTTTTGTATGGCACTTTGTCGAATGCCTTTGCAAAATCCAGATAAACCACACCTGCTGGGTCCCCGTTGTTCACTACACTCATAATGTCTTCATAGAATTCCAGTAAATTAAGTTAAACATCACCTGCACTTCATGAACCCAGACTGCGTCTGCCCAATGGGACAAAGGACAAGTATAGGCCTGAATTCAAAGTTCTAATCTGGGGAAAGGTCAATTTTAATAAGATTGGGTATGATTTGACCAGAGTGGACTGGAGCAAATACTTTTAAGTAAATCTGTGTCAGAGCAGTGGAACACATTAAACAAGGAAATAGGGAGAATATGGGACCAACATGTTCCAATAAAGAAAAAGGGCGGCACCAACAAATCCTGTGAATTCTGGCTATTAGGGGATATACAGAATTTGACATAAAGGAAAAGGGAGGCTAATCGCAGACACCAAGGGCTTAAAACAGCAGAAGCTGTAGTGGAGTACAGAATGTGCAAGAAAGAAGATTAAAAATGAAAGCAGAAGATCAAAAAGGTGCATAAAATAATAATGGCAGGTAAAATCAGTGGCACAGAAGCTCACTGCTGTCTCACAGAACCACAGACCTGGGTTAAATCCCAGCCTTGGGTGACTGTGTGGAGTTTGCACATTCTCCCTGTGTGTGCGTGGATTTCCTCTGGATGCTCTGGTTTCTTCCCACAGTCCAGGAATGAATAGGTTAGGTGGAACTCAATGGAAATTCAGGGTGATAGGGTAGGGGGTGGGTCTGGGTGGGTGCTCTTTGGAGGGATGGTGTAGACTCAATGGGCTAAACGGCCTGCTTCCACACTGTAGAGATTCTATGAAAATGAAGCAAAATCCTAAGCAGCATGTGTTCAAATTTTCTTACTGGCTGCATGGGCATCCAAGACCAAGCACAGCAGTGACTCTGGAACCAGCTTAACGGGAATGATGATCCTAAGTTACTTTACAAGTACATCAAGGCTAAAAACATACCTAGAGAAAGAGTAGGACCCATTAAGGACCACAGTGGTGACTTGTGCATGGAGCCAGAGGACTTAGGTAAAGTTATAAATTAATATTTTTTGTTGGTGTTCACTAGTGAGAGGGACATGTGGGTAGAGAAATCAGGGACTGTGTTATAATTAAAGAAATTAGCATATTTTAGAAAGGAGGTTTTGAGTTGTCTGGCATGCTTAAAAATGGATAAATCTCCAAGGCTGGATTAATTGTATCCCTGTTCAGTGAGGCAGGGTGAGGGGTGGGAGCAGTAAGTAGCATGGGCACTAGTAATAATTTTCAGTTCCTTCCTGGCTACAGGAGAGGTGCCAGAGGACTGGAGGACAGTCAATGTGGTACCGTTATTCAA